GCTGTGTCCAGTTGTGGGCCTCCTGCTGTGGGAATGGGAACTGGAGCAAGTTCAGCAGAGGTCAGCAGACAGCTGAGATTAATGGAGCCAGGCTTTGCACTGTGGTCCATGGTGGGAAGGCAAGAGACACCAACTGAAAGAAAGAGAGGTTCAGGCTGGACAGAAGGAAAGACATGTTCTTGGTGGGAAGAGTCAGGAAATGGAGCAGCAGCTCAGAGAGGGAGAGTGTGCACTCTGTCCTCAGAGGCTTTCAAGGGCAGGCCAGACAAAACCCACAGCAACCTGGCCTCACCTTGCTCTGTACTAAAGAGCACTAGAGGGCCTTCCATCCTGAATTACCCTAGGGTCTTAAATAAAAATTGAGGTAACAGAGGGTTTCTGATACTGCAGTTTCTGTCCCTAGAAGGTTTTTGTCCTAGTCTTTCCCCATCAGTTTAGAAGCTTTCCTGGACAGCTACGGGGGTCAGGGGTGCGAGAAACAGAAGATAGCAAAATAAATAATACTCTAGTATGTATAGCACTTATACAGTAGCAGTATATCCAGTGCTATTGCAGTGGTTGGGGCACTTCTTACCTCTAGACAAAGATATGTTCAAAGAATAAACATTGATACTTCATTTATACAGTGGAATGCAAAGGGGGGAAGGAATGGGGAAGGGCTTCAAGCCTAAACAGTAAAGAACCTCATTTGTGGAAGTTAAATTTTTAAAAGTTACTTTCAGTCCCTTTTTACAATGTTATTAGGCTAGCTTTTTTGTTAAATCTCCCTTTCTTTTTTTTTCTTTCTCTAAGCTTGACTGATTTCTCAGCTCACACATTTAGATGCATCAGTCTAATAAAAATGTTTTCAATAAAAAACAATTGAACTGTAAGGGTAATCCCATGAGTATTAAGGTGTTAAGTCCAAAACAAAGTAAGTTTTTTCCTATTGATTTCATTGCTCCATTTAGTAAAACTATAGCTCATCATGTAAAGTGGTTTGCTTTTTGTGCTTCTACTTATTTTGATGTTTCTGGAAAAGTGAAGACATCCTGCCATTCAAATTCTCCTTAGTAAAATATGCAGTATAATAATTCTCTTTGTTATGTGCTGTTATGTTCTGGTGATTCCCAATAGAGTACTGTTTTGCTGCAGGTTTAAGCTTTCTGTGGGCTTGCAAAATACCAGTCTAAATGGATTTCAAAAATTATTTTGCTGACAGTAACATAACTAACAGCTTATACTAACAAAAAGAAATCTCTTGAGCTTGAAATCTGTGTTGTTCTTTCCATCTCAGACCTAGCATGCTTAGAAGACTTAATTTTGCATTTAACAAAGTTGTATAGTCTGAACAATTTACCTTGTTTGAATAAATGGGAACTTCCTTAGCTAGTTGAGGAGGGAAATAGTTTCAAAATGACTCCTCATATTTAGGAGGATAATGACTGCCATAACTATTACAAATTCAATAAAAAGTATGAATTCAAAGAGTTAGCTTATGTTTAAAGTACAAGCACTGGGACCAGTTTCAAATGGTCTTAGATGAGGACAAGTACATGAACTTTTCCCTAGTTCTTCTACTGAACATGATCCTAGCAGAAATTTACTTGTACTACAGTATCTTCACTTGATAACACTTATTTTGCTTGTAGCTGTTTAAAGCCCCCATGAGCCACGGATATTTTGATTTTAGCTAATATGAATTGCTTACAGTTTGTTTAGAATCTTAATATGTAACCTTTTATGTCCTAGGTAATACTTAATGCGTACACAAAAGCACTGTCACTGGATCATCATTCCAGTATAAACAAAGACTCAAGTGGTTTTACCTAAGAGCCTTGTGTTAGTCATAACAAATATATTTAACTTTAGGCAGTGAGATGCATTCTACTGTGAAGGACCTGCTACTTAGTTTAGAAGTGTCTAGGTTCAGTAGGTTGATAAAAGTTATTTCAATACATGTTCTGAAATACTGATTCTGAGAGTAACTGCCCCATTCCCCTTTGGCCCTTACCTCAGTTTTCTGTCCTTTCACATTCTCAGATCTGTTTGAGCAGTTCCTCTTACATTTAAAAACTTAAGAGTGGTGCTGTGTCCATTAAATTATGCTCCACATCCTTAACTGGTTTTGCTGTCAGGAAAATGTAAATCCAACTTGCAAATTCATACTACTAGCAAGGTGTAAATTTGTTTTAACTTTGAGCCTGATGGCCAACGAGCAGATACTTTGGGTCCTAAGATCTTCCGACCTCTGACAGGAAAGCAAACACACTCTACAGAAGGGTAGGCAGAGAATTCTGTTTGCTCTTTTGGATTAGCTACATGTCTTGACCTTTCATTGAAGACTTCAGCATTTGAAAAAATCATTGTTAGCATGCTGATAAAATCAGCTGATGTTGACTCTTCTGCATAACTACATCTGCTGTACTTTGTCCAAGACTTGGAAAAAAATCATATTGTAGTGATTAAAAACAAAAGATTAACATCTTAATATCAGGAGTTATCAATGATTAATTTTTATTTTTTTTAAATGAAGCACAGGTCAAATGCATAGAGGTATTAATTCCTCAGTACTATCCTGAGTGTAGTGAGACACTGATGTCATTAAATAATGACATTACGTGGTTTTAGTAATGTTAAATTAAGTGGCCAAGGGTCGTTTAAGGTGTGTCAGCTCTTAATTAAAAATTTTCTGCAGTGAAATTCAGCCTTTACATTACACTGTGGATTTGTCCTCAGCTATGCTAAGCTTAGTAAGCTGGGTGTGAGACAAAGAACTTGCCACTTTCTCTAAATAACCACAGGCAGGTACCAAGTTGGAACAGCCATGCATTTGCACTAATTTAACTGAGCTTGGTTGGGGTTGGCCAAGACTCACAATTCATGGATGGGATTCAAGTGAAATATTACATTGCTGAGGAACCCTAATTAATGCAGCATCTAGTTTAAGCAAACTGAACTGTCTCTGCCTTTTGCAGCATGTGTTTTGTTGTGCTCTTTCCTGAAGCCAGTGAACCACATCAATGCTTTTTATTTAAATTGCTATGTGATGTTCTTAAGTGGTGCTATGCTGCTTTGGAAGAAATTCACGCCAGTACACTGATGATTATGTGAGTTTTCTGAACTGGTTCTTTTTGATTTCACGATGGTGTTTGTAACTTGAGTCAGGTTTGACTCTGCTATGGCTCCTGCAGAAGGGGATCTTAGAACTTCTATCTGAACAGGAATATATTTCTGAAGGCTGAAAAAGTATGCAATAATTTACAGTTGTTGATTTACTAACTACTGAAGTTATTAGATGGCACTACTCCTGAAAATGTTGGGCTTTCAGGAAGGCAAAAGGGAAACTTTAAGACACAGGAAAGGTGTGTGTTTTCACATTTGCTGTGATACTAACAAACAAGAAGGCAAGAAAAGCTTTGGAGAAGAAGTCACCTGCACATTTAGTATAAACATCTGTCCTGGAGTGACTTTATGATGCTTGTATTATGATGCTTGTAGTTCTGTTTCTATAGTTATTTCTGTCAAATCACTAAAAAGACTAATAAAGTACTTAAAGTTCCTATAGACAAAAATACTTCTCCAAAATTGCTTTCTTCAAGGCCTTTGATGTAGCTGTTACTTAGCCTTGAATATATAGTTAGTAACTTCCCCTGGCTAATAGTTCCTTATATGCTTCCTTCATAGCACTGTGGCCAGAACTCACTGGTCTTAAATAATTCAGTGCTTAACTTCCGTGCAAGCCTGCTCAGTAGGAAGGTATTAGTTACTGAAGGTGCCAAGAAATTCAGTTTGCTGCTGCCTTTCAAAATATAACCAGAAAGGTCACAAGTGGATTCTAATATTCAGTTAGGCACTATAAGAGTGGGAAGCTGAACCCACATCTTCAGGGTACAGCACTGATGACCATTCCATAGACTGTTTTGGGAGGCTGAGAAACCTGGTTTTTCTGCTGAAGATGCCTGTTGTAGCAGAGAATTTGCATAGGGAAAACATGTCTGGTCTATGGCTGGCACAAAAGAATGAGTGCCAGTCTGCTTCCAGCTTCAGATACTGTCAGACATTCTCTTCAATACAAAATGCATCAACTAGTCCTTTGAATAGAAACCAGAATTTCAGCGTAGTCTTAGCTTGACCCTTGGATTCTTCTGTTTGTAATAAAAACTTGTTGCATTAAACTAACTGTACGTTGCTTTTAATTTCTGTGGCAAGTTAGGAAAAAAACAAATCACAGCTGTTTTGAGAGCCATAATGTAAAACATCACTGCTACGTGTCCAGACATAACTGTTAAATTTAACTACAGTAATAAAGACAAGGAGGTCACCTCATGTTGGCTCTGACTTTGTGCCCTTAATCACAGAACTGAATTATGTAGTTTCTAGGTATGGCAGATGTAGAGTACAACCTTGTGAACCAAAGGGAAGTTGAGTTGTGCTGCTCATGGGGCGTACATTGGGGTGTAGGAAGCTGCAACATCTGAACTACAGGATGTAGTTACACCTGCACAAAATACCCTCTATATCAGGGATTCTGAAGAGCCTTGAGCACCACTTACAGCTTCAGTATGACCCAAATGATCCTTTTTTTTTAATCACCAAACTATACATCCAAATTTTTTATTTATGTTACTAGTTATTTATGGCTACCATTTGCAGCATTCAAGAGGTAGAGTTCATTCCTCACTCTGACCCTAGCATCAGGGATCCTTGATCCTAATCCTGTTGCTCAGAGAGAGTCATAGATAGTCTGTGTGCATAACATAAGCAGTAATTTGGACCAAGTACCAGCACAGAAAAATAACACCTATGAATTCGTGCTTTGAGGAAATTGGAAATGAGGCTGCTATTGTCCTTGCTAAGCTCTGACCCCAAGTTGCCACTGAGATATCAGTGTGCCAGCAATGTGTTGGTCACAAGTCTTCATACCAGATAAATAGTCTTTGTAATGTATCCTTGTAATGACTGGCAGTCTGGCTGCCTAATGTGACAATTGGTATGTTTGCAAGAGTGATATACCTTGATATTTTAATCTTTATTTATGCAGGGACTCAAATCATTAGCTCCCACTGAACCCCCAGATCCGATTTTTGGGACAAGTAAACCTGCTCCAGGTTTACCAGCAACTGAACCTTTCTTGGGTACAAACAAGGTGCCAGACCTACAGAAAGTTTTTCAGGTAATGACAACTTTGAGAGTAACTTAAAGAAAACTGGGAGTGGGACATATGTGTCCTTATTTTAACACAGCTGACTACTTTTGCCATTCTACAGTACCTAAATTCTGTAAAGTCTGATCAAGAAACTGTCACATACAGTATAACCTGTGTACTTGTACTTCATTACAAAGTATATACATATATATATGCCTTGTATAGGAGATAAGTACAGAAAGTGGATAAATGCAGTAACATTGTCTTTTTGCTGACTTCAGAAGTTGGTTGTTGTATTATTTGACTATTGGAAGCACTTTCTCTCTGGGAATCCAGGTGTATGCCTTAAAGCAGATGTGGAGAAGCAAAGCAAATCATTATGGTTTTATTTATAATAATTTGAATGTTGCTGAAGCTGTTTGTAGTGCAGTATAAGACCAGCACAGTAAAGTTTTCAAAGCCAGTTTGTTAGCTATGGAATTTCTAAATGTAGGACTTCTCTTAAAACAAATTAGTTAAGCTTTTTTTTAAGCATCAAGAATGTACTTTATATAATGTTCCCTTTTCTCTCTTACATACCACTTCCATTTGGAATGTGTCAGTCTGACTTAGTGAATAATTTTTTAAACATATTTTTTCACATTCTGTTGTTAGTGACACTTTTCCCATCCAGGTCCTCTTGAGAAATATTTCAAGATACATTATTTCTGCTTGCACTTAACAGCTTTGGCTAACAAAATCAACTTGCCTTCGCATTTGTCTTGCTAGAACACACATAATACACTTGGTTGTAGTGAGCGTATTTGTCAGGAGGTTTCCCTCTTGAAAGTCTCTTAATTTACCCAAGGTAGCTTATTCTGTAATGACCTCAGTATGGGTGTTAATTTCTTTTTTGCTTATTTTCTTCTTGAACTCTTCCCACAGAGATCAGATGGGCTGCCAATACACCTGAAGCGAGGATATCCAGATAGGATGCTCTATCGGACCACGATGGCTCTGACAATAGGAGGGACTATCTACTGTCTGGTAGCACTGTACATTGCTTCACAGCCAAAAAACCAAAAATAAAGGAACCACACCTCATGGGACTTTCAGCACTCCTCTGAAGGATCTCCTGCATGTACCACTGCACTTAAACCTGTTCCCTGTGGTCACATAGGGTTCATCAGATTTCTTGGAGAAAATGTTTTTAAATCGGTTGCCTTATGTATTCTGAAACACCAATATAAACAGAGAAATATATTATTTTAGCATATGGTTGTAGCTTTTCTTGTCTTGCAAGAGTTTATTAACAGTTGAAGAAAGTTAAGCTTTTCCTTCCATCCCTTCTCCAATTTCAACAGTGTTTGAGAGAGGACAGGAGAAATGATTTGTGAGCTATGCACCACATTCCTTAGTGGAAGGATGCTACTAGTTTCCAAAACACTAAAAGCAAATCATTTAATTATTATGGCATACTGGGAACCTATTTCTTTCCTATATAGCATCACTGTATGCAGCAGAGTGCACCATTATTGTAGCATCAGTTACACCAGTTTTTGGACTTTCCTTGTCAAATTGTATTACCACACAATAAAGAGAGCAACATGAATACTAAAGGAGGCAAGTCTCGAAAATTTCAGAGCATTTCAGCATGCCTGGTATGTGAAATAAACATATTGGTACAGTTATAAATTCAACTTGTAGAAATCATAAAATTGATTCAGCTACCTTACTGTCATCTTTTTGAGATGGTAAATCTTTTAAAACCCTCTCCCAGACTGCACTGTGTGTTTAACTATAATTTTTGATGAAACAGGTCACTGTCATAACTCAGCTGCTTACTATTTCCAGTGCCTGCAGATAGCTATTTATGTACACACATTTCTGTGGATGGAAGAGAGATAAGCCAATACAACCCTTTTTGTATTCTCTTTCCCTTGTAATAACATAGCCTTGAACTGCAAGTTTCATATAAGTCTTCACAAAAAGCGTCCTCTAATTTCATAGCTCCTCCTCTGCCCCTAAACATTGATTTGTTGGCCTCTGTAAAGACCCATCTCTCTCAGAACTGTGCAGAAACAACCTTCAAAGTAAATAAGAAAAATACTTGATAAAGGAAACTAAAACTGCCTTTTTTCAGTCTTTTACTAAAAATACTCTGATTTTTTTCCATTTAAGTTACATCAAAGCTTACTGCTTCATAGGAAAGAAAATAGCTGCTTGTACTGTGATCTTGGGTTTCAGTCAGTGTTGGTATTTCAGGATGGAAGAGATTTAAGTCAGTGAAAAATAGCTTTGTAAGGACAGCAAGAGTCAAAGAATAGCAGAAAATAAATTCTGCAGGAACTGACAGTTATGCTGCCTCTACTGATAAAATATTTTGTCTTCAGTAGCCCATGCTCCTGTGACACTCAAGCTTGTACCGTCGGCTGTTAAATACTACAAAACAGAAAAAAGTAAGAAAGAAGAAAGAGAAAACAGTGCAGTAGGTTGTTGTCTGTCTTCCCTACATATCATCTATCAAGCACTGCCTACAAGAATTTTCTAATAAAGGATATTGTGCACATAAACTTGACAGGTAGAATTTGATGAAGCCAAGCTTTGTTCAGAGTATTTCCATGCTCTTAGTTTTCTGGTTTGGTTTTGGTTTTATTGGAGGGGTGGATTAGGGATTTTCTTTTTTTTGTTGTTTTTGTGATAGTACTGGGTCTTTTTGTTTTAAATGAACTATTTCTGGTGCTCATCTAGAGGGTAACAGCTTTCTGCTTGTTGCTAAAGCACATACTGATAAAATAACCAAGCTGTGTTATCCCACAGCTCATTAACCAGTGAGAATACTCTTGTGGAAGGAACAACAGCCTTAGCGCTCAGGCCCAGCTTGCTTAAAGTAACTCAGCTAGGACACTAGTTTCATGTCTTGCAGTTAGAGGTCATGGCTGAAGCCATGGATAGCAGAATTGCCCTAGGTCTCCCTTTTTCCAGTATATAGCATCTGCCAAAGGGACAAAAACCATCCATCAGTATTTGCAAATAAACAGACTACATAATCTGTTGCACTTTTCCCCGCCCTTCTCTCCCCCAGTGTCTGGATTTTGAAAAACTGTATTCACTTTGCCCTCCTTGCAAAAGCTGACCCAGTTGAAGCAGGATGAGAGTTCTGCTTCAGCTTGTGAGATTCACACCCATGGTTCAGTTGGGGGTTAAAGAGCAAAGAGGCTTGTCTGCAGCCATTGAGGACAGCTCCAGGTCTGAGAGAAAGGGCAGACTGCATTTCTATGTTCCCTCAGCAAAGTGCTCTGAAAAACAGAAAGTTTCCAGGCTGTAACCTGGAAACCACATTAGTCTGGCAGCAAAATCTTGTCCCTTCCGTCAATTAGTTTTGAGATCATTGTGAAGAAATTGCAACATGGTGAATCCTTTTTCTTCCTAGAGAAAACAACTTCTAAATATTTATCTATTTTAAAATACTGATGCCAGACTTCTGTAAGGATTCAAGAATGTCCAAATGTTTTGAATTATTATTTGTGATACAGAGAACTAATCATCATCTTAAGCCTTCAAGAACACACTTAACCTCTCAAAGGCGTAGTCTGACCCAGGCCTGATTGTTAAATAAAGTCTTAAGGAGAGGCAGGGGTGACTTGCAGCATCAAGGCTACTTCAATACTGCAAGTTGTCGTGCCCAGAAGGAGGAATCTGATGGGAACTTTATAATGTTCTTGTTTTATAAAGACCCTCTCAGTTTTGTCTTAGAAAATATGCAACCTACCAACACAGAGGACTGGGTGGGGAAAAAAAAGCCGTTTTCAAATGATAGCTTATACTGTAGTGTTTTGGTTTGAATATATATTAGAGAATAAATTATAATAAGCTCTCATACCCCAAGGTGCCGAGTTTGTAAGGGAAATCAGCTGAGGTTTAGAACACACTGGAACAAAATTATCTCATGGATAATCACCCATCCCCAATGGCATTATCTCATTGTTGAGAAACAGTGGTTTTCCTCCTTAAATTATTTCTGTGGCAACCTGGATTCAATAGTTACATCTTTGTTTTGGTTTTTAAGTAAGATCTCCTCCCCTACCTTTTGTGTGGGACTAATAGAATAAATGCATCTGAGAAGATGTTGAGAGTATGCACATACATCTTACAGCTGCTTTAAAAATTAAACTATGTTAGGGGGAGGATTCCTCCACAGTATTGTAGTGTGACCATACAGTCTCAACAGGCTTTTGCCTTAACATTTTAAATTGTCAACAGAGTGATTATTTCCATACTGAGACATTAACTGTTTGATCTTGCCTTAAAGCAAAGCTTTCAAATTAAAAGGCACTGTAAGGAATAAAAACATGAGAAAGTAGAAAATTTGGAATCTAATCTTACAGACCTAAAAAAAGCCAAAATGAGCATTTAAGAAGAGTTTCTTTGCATACATGTGCATGGTATTTATTGTCTTTATCCTCCTTTCTGCCTTCCAAGAGACTTTAAGAATCGCAGAGCAGATGGGGGGTTTTTTTGGTGACTCACAAACCATAGCCCTACAGATCCTAAAATTTGAAAAATTTAGATTCGTTCCTACAAAGAGAAAAATGGGCGTGTATTGGCCGAATTGTATGTAAAATCATGCTAAACTGTTCTGAAAAAGGTGCAAGATATCTGCATTTCATGACGTAGTAAATTTTTCCCCTTTCCTGCCCTTCACCTCAGTGAAGAGTGTCACAAGTCAAAGCTTGATCTCTGTTGTAAAATGGACAGAGAAAAATGGGAGGAATATGCCTGTATTCTAAGCATTAATGTCAAGCAGTAGACACAATAAGCAACCTTTTAAGCATTTTGCATATTCAGTGCTAATTGCATCTTCATTTATAAAAGATCATTAATTTGAAACCATTCCAGTTAGCTGCAGTGCAAGTGATGCACAGATTGCTAAGAGACAGAAGCATATTTGCTGTGAGAGGGAGTGCAGGCATTCCTGTGGATCAGGAAATAGGGTATATGCTGTCAAGCATCAGCGTGGTATCTCACTAACAGCAGATCTTCTCACAAATGTATCTCCCAGTCTATTGCAGGCAGCCCAGGGGCTACAAGAAGGCAGTCATCATCCTTGGGCTCTAAAGAGACATGATACTCCCTGATAAAATGTTTTTTTCTGAATGATTTTGCTCAGTGGATCCAGTGCTGTGAATCTGGGGAGGTGGGAAAGAGGGGGAAGTATTTTTCCTCATTTCACATCAGCTGCATACACTCGCTTTTCCCCCTTCCTCACTCCCACATTTTTATTCTGAAGACCATGAAAATTTTTCTAGTCATTTCCTTTTTTACATTATTTCGTAAATATCCTGTCCCACAAAGGAAATGAAATTGTTTCTAAGAGCTTCAGAAGAACTTCTGAAATAGTCATATCACATTCATATAATCTGTCACATATATTTTTTCCTCTGCAAGCTGTAACAAGCCCTGGAAGCCTCCTTTGTCAAGTACACAATCTTGCCAACCCACTGAAAGTCTTATTTAATGAGAAGTCTTTGAAGAAGCTGTTCTACAGGTATGCAAACATATCTGTAGACTTGCTGCTTACAAGCTCCAGACTGTATTTCAAATAGAGGAAATACTGCTTCCCTGCAACATTCTTACGTTTCAATTGTGTTACCTCGAATGCATCTTTGTACCCTTTTTCATATCTTCCTTACAATTCAGTCACACAGATTCATTTTACTCTAAGTGCTTTATCTATTTATGGTGTGGTGCTATCTCAAACATTTTGGATACCTTTCCGCACTGAGCCCTAATTTAATCCCAAAACTGGAAATTTAGGCATTAATTATAGTATGTGTCTATTACAAAGTTTTCACTTGAGGCATGGAGACAGCTGACAGCATCCATGGCAGAGTTCATTACACCCTGCCTGGGTAACCAGATGTTCTTTCAACCACAGGAAGCCATTCATATCCTTTTGAAAGGTTCTTGCTACATGTGAGGAAGATCATCTGTGTAATCTTTAGTTGCTCACCTACTCACAAGAGCAAGCTGTACATTGTCTAATCCCCAATACCGCATAAATGCAAACTGTGTCTTCCCTTAAACTAAACGCAGAACAGCACTCTGGAAGGAAACAAAGGGAACGTGCTTGGTGGAGTGGAGAGCTTGTAAATGTCAGTTCCACCAACTTGACCCTGACTTGCAGCAAAGAGAGCAAGACTAATGAAATGCAGCTTTTCTAGCATAAAGAACAAGTGCTACATATTAAAGCTTGTTCTTGCATAAACTTAAGGA